AATCACAAGAACTTAGGGCTCTAATTCTCACCAATTCCTCAACAAAACAATTCTGGAAGGTTTTACGATGCACTTAACATATCCCTGAATAGTTGTATGCAATGTTCTCTCGACTTTCTTGAGACGTGATGCACTTGTTGAGGTAGAAATATATTACTTTGGCACATATATAACATGTTTGACTTGATCTTTCATGCAAAGCATTCATGTGAACAAACACTTTGTTCCCATATTTTGTTTTTTATGTTGAATTTTTGTCATGCTTGACTCTGCTGTTTTTAAGTTGCATGCCTGTGCTTGCCCTTATTTGCTTACCCAGCATGCTTTGCCTAATGCTTTCCTCATGCTTCACTCACATTTTACAGGAACTATTTTCTCCGTGACAGGAAACGCTCCCCCCCAGTTACATCGACTTCCAAGTGAATATGCCTGCCCACCTGCCCATATGCCCAGGGCCAAACAGCCAGCTCCTGTTCAGTCACAGTAAGTACAGCAAACCTGAGCCTCTCAACCCCACAGTCACACACCTCCCCCACAGTCACACACCTCCCCCGCATACCAACGCCTCCATCCCTCAGACCCACACCTCCACCCCACTATTACACACCTCCACCCCACTATTACACACCTCCCTCCCACAATGACATACCTCCACCCCACAATGACACACCTCCACCCCACAATGACATACCTCCACCCCACAGGCCCACACCTCCACCCCCACAATGGTACATCTTCACCCCACAATGACACACCTTCGCCGCACGGACCAACACCTCCACCCTTCACAAGGGGAGGGACGAGAGAATCATTGAGTGGGAGGGTATATGGAATCATTGAGGAGAGGGTATATTGAATCATTGAGTGGGGGAGGGTATATGGAATCATTGAGGGGGGAGGGAATATAGAATCATTGAGGGGGAGGGTAGATGGAATCATTGAGGGGATGGAATATAGAATCATTGAGGGGGGATATAGAATCATTGAGGGGTAGGGAATATAAAATCATTGAGGGGGAGGGTATATGGAATCATTGAGGGGGAGGGAATATAGAATCATTGAGGGGAGGGAATATAAAATCATTGAGGGGCAGGGTATATGGAGTCATTAAGGGGAGGGAATATAGAATCATTGAGGGTAGGGAATATGGAACCATTGAGGGGTAGGGAATATAGAATCATTGAGGGGAAGGGAATATAGAATCATTGAGGGGGAAGGCTATATGGAGTCATTGAGGGGGAGGGAATATAGAATCATTGAGGGGGAAGGTATATTGTGTCATTGAGGGGGAGGGAATATAATCATTGAGGGGGTGGGTATATCGAGTCATTGAGGGGAGGCAATATAAAATCATTGAAGGGGAGGGAATATGGAGTCATTGAGGGGAGGGAATATTGCATTGATGGGAGGGAATATGGAATCATTGAGGGGGAGGGAATATAGAATCATTAAGGGGGGAGGGTATATCGAGTCATTGAGGGGGAGGGAATATAGAATTATTGAGGCGGTGGGAATATAGCATTGAGGGGAGGGAATATGGAATCATTGAGGGGAATATAGAATCATTGAGAGGAAGGGTATGTGGAGTCATTGAGGGGAGGGAATATAACACATTGAGGGGAGGGAATATGGAATCATTGATCATTGAGGGGGAGGGAATATAGAATCATTGAGGGGGAGGGAATATAGAATCATTGAGGGGGAGGGTATATCGAGTCATTAATGGGGAGGGAATATCGAGTCATTGAGGGGGAGGGAATATAGAATCATTGATGGGGAGGGAATATAGAATCATTGAGGGGGAGGGTATAGCGAGTCATTGAGTGGTAAGGAATAATGAATCATTGAGGGGAGGGAATATAACACATTGAGGGGAGGGAATATGGAATCATTGATCATTGAGGGGGAGGGAATATAGAATCATTGATGGGGAGGGAATATAGAATCATTGAGGGGGAGGGTATAGCGAGTCATTGAGTGGTAAGGAATAATGAATCATTGAGGGGAGGGTATATCAAGTCATTGAAGGGGAAGGGTCCTGTAATCCCCCTGCATTCCAGCTCTTTTACATCTGGCACAAAATAAATACAAAATCAAAAATAATTACATGTGTTTGTTGGGAAAATATGAATGTATGATAGTATTTTGATGTTGTTTCTATGAGTTAATGAGATCGATCTGCCCACTATTCTACACTAATGTGACAGCTGGGGCCATCAGATATGGTTAATTAGTATTGGATGTGTGTGTTGTTTCAGTGGAGATGTGAATGATATTCCCCTGCCCGCTCGGCGCGAGGGACTGCGAGAGAACCAGGACCTAAACAAGGAGAACAATGGAACGATTGTGGGCAGTTTAAATGAGGAGCACGTCACCATACTCGTAGACCGGGGCTACGATCGCCTCAAAGCAGTGGAGGCCTTGAGAGTGTCGCACAACAACCTCAAAATGGCCGAGGACATTCTGGATACGTTTGTTAAAAACAATCGATGAAAAAAAGTAGGGAGTGTGATGATTCTACCAACCACCAGGGGGCACTGTCGCCACGTTTGATACGCCTGGACTGATTGTATTGAGAAGAGACGTGGGCAGAGTGCCATGTGACTTGAGACTGTTCTGCTGTAGACGTGTCGTAATCAAATAATTTATACTCACTCTACAATCAAAGTGAGGCTGCCTCGGTCTGGTCCTACCCCTCGCAGGTTCCTGGGGTCGTGTGGCGGAGAGTCACTTATGCTTTTAGTACGTTAGTATTTATGTCCGTATATCCCATGAGGCTGTGACTCTATTCATTTCAGCCGCACCAAGAGAGGAGACTTTTCTACTTTGTTTCTGTCACTGTAACATTGGGACACGCCCACAAGTTACGTTTTTGTCACTGTAACATTGGGACACACCCACAAGTTCCGTTTTTGTCACTGTAACATTGGGACACGCCCACAAGTTACATGTTTCCGTCACTGTAACGTTGGGACACGCCCACAAGTTACATGTTTCTGTCACTGTAACATTGGGACAGGCCCACAAGTTACATGTTTCTGTCACTGTAACATTGGGACACGCCCACAAGTTACATGTTTCTGTCACTGTAACATTGGGACACGCCCACAAGTTACATGTTTCTGTCACTGTAACATTGGGACAGGCCCACAAGTTACATGTTTCTGTCACTGTAACATTGGGACACGCCCACAAGTTACATGTTTCTGTCACTGTAACATTGGGACACGCCCACAAATTGCCTATTTCTGTTGCTGTAATGTTGGGACAAGTATGCCATTCTTCAAGAGCTGGTTTTTCTCTTTGAATTGCATATCCACACGCCAGATGCACCTTTTGATAAACATGCCCTGGCCACTTGTACAAAGCATGTTGTTCGTCAAGCTGACACTCTGTTTACCATTTAGCCTGGTCAACATACTTGTAGGTGGGCATCTAGATCATACCTTTCATGATAGATGTGTTCATGAAGATTTACTAAACTGTTCATGATATTGGTACGAAGATAATCCTGACAATTAACTTGACAGCTGAATATCTTGATTATTCATGAAGAACAGCTGCACAGGTGAATATCTCAGTGTCAATAATGATAAATACGGTAACTATTACTGTAGGCGAACTTCTAGATAATCTTTCATTAAGAATGTGTTCATTATAGCTGGTTATGCCTCTATTAAGAATCTTGCTATTCCATTGGTTATTCCGTACCACGTGACAAAAAAATACGTTTCAATGTTGACCCCCAAATCACGTGACTGACACTGACCTCAAACATTGACTTGTCACATGATCAGTATTGACTTGTCACATGATCAGTATTGACTTGTCACATGATCAGTATTGACTTGTCACGTGATGAATATTGACTCGTCTGCTAGGAAACAAGATGGCGTCCGGTTCTAACATTTTATGGTTCGTGGGTAAATTATTGTAATGAAACAGAAAAGTTTAAGGGTACATGAACTTTAGATTATATTTCGGTTTAACAATACGAATGATCAAGAGTAGTTAATTGTATATTGAAGGTAACATCTCGATACTGATAATGATAGATCTGAGTTGACCTGTGACTTCCGTCACTTGGACACACCCAGAAACCTTTGGTCGAGGGTTTAAATCTTTGTTCACTCCGATTATGTTTCTAGGTTCGTCAGCTCATGGGTTTCACCAGAGTGCTAAACGTCTGAGACCTGGCTAACTTCCTGGCTTTGCCCCCACGTCAAGTTGACACATGGAGTATAACTGAAATTCTCTTCAAAGCAATGTTGGGGGCACGGGTGGCCCAGTCGTCTAAGGCGCCGCGATTCGCTGTGCAGAGTTGCGTCCCTTGGGCAGGCCAGAAACCTATGACTGTGGGTTCGAATCCCGGTTCGCCCCGATTATGTTTCTAGGTTTGTCAGCACCATACCCGTGCTCGTTGGTTTCACCGAAGTGGTAAACGTCTGAGACCTGCATCACTTCGGGCTTTCCTCCCACATTAAGCTGACTCACTCACATTCAAAGCAATGTTAAAGCCAACTGACTCCAAGTCGTCTCAAAAAGGCCGTAGTGTTCTCACCAAGTTAGCTTTATTGTGGTCATCTCATACTGGGATTTAGCAGGCACAACAAATTTCCTGGCATCTATTGCGTACAATGGGACATACGTGTTATAGGATAATCCTATGTTACGAGGTACTGTAAATCTTGAAGTTAACGCGAGCATGAATTAAATGATAAAATGCGAGTGGTCTTTGTTCGCATTAATGAAACTTCGTATTTATGTCTCCAAAATGACTATCAACAATATGACTTCGGATAGCGCACACTTTGGATAGCGGAAATACCAACCTGAATATATACACAAACATGGTTTATTGAGCAGCAGTTGTAACAAGTACATAACAATGTCATTTAAAGAATAGGAATTACACAAAGGGCATCCGGTGAGTTATCACTGCTGGGGTCAAGAGTTCTACCCACTCGTGTCAAACTAGGCATCATTGACCACTGTTTGATTGGATTAGGGTAAGGATTCCTATCATTCCACTGGGGATGGGGTGGGGGGAGTCGCATTGATTTTGAGTCGCATTTTTTGGCTAGGGGTCAGCAGTCGTATTAATTTGGAGACACATTAATTTCCAGATTTACAGTATATTGTTTGTGGTGTTCATCACTGAAAATGAAATTCGGCATTGATTCTGGGTGGGTGTGTCTTTATTCTTCCAAATACCTGCAAATAGTGCGTGAATTTGTATGCATATTTATGACATGTTTATTATTGGTTTTTTTTGTAAAATTTCTCTTACGACTACCCTCCTGATTTCTGATTTCTGTAAATCTCTGTGAGACCATTTGATCTAGTACATACCTTCTGATAGAATAGACAAGATGGGTGATCAGTTGACAAACGCTGATAGGGGCACCTTGACCGTACATCCCCACTGCGTCTATGCTATGCTAGAATATACAGATTCCTGCAGGATATGAGTATCAATTGAGATAACGCTGATAGGGGCACCTTGACCGTACATCCCCACAGCGTCTATGCTCATTGCTGTGCTAGAATATACAGATTCCTACAAGATGGGTGTATCAATTGAGATAAAGCTGATAGGGGCACCTTGACCGTACATCCCCACAGCGTCTATGCTATGCTGGAATGTACAGATTCCTGCAGGATATGAGTATCAATTGAGATAACGCTGATAGGGGCACCTTGACGGTACATCCCCACCGCGTCTATGCTGTGCTGGAATATACAGATTCCTGCAGGATATGAGTATCAATTGAGATAACGCTGATAGGGGCACCTTGACCGTACATCCCCACAGCGTCTATGCTGTGCTAGAATATACAGATTCCTGCAGGATGGGTGTACCAATTGAGTAATGCTGCTCAACATTTGCTAAGGACCACACCATTGACTGAAGATGAATGTTGTTCAAATGTTGAGTCGTATATTATTGCATTCAAAATAGGAGCATCTTTAACTTGATAAGTCTCCTGTAAGAGTCGGGGGCACAGATGGCCCAGTTGTCTTAGGTGCCGCGATTTGCTGTGCAGTGTATGATTGTGGGTTCGAATCCCGGTTCACCCTGATTATGTTTCTAGGTTTAGTGAGCACCATACCCGGGCTGGTGGGTTTCACCAAAGTGGTAAACATCTGAGACCTGCATCACTTCGGGCTTTCCTCCCACTTTAAGCTGACAAGAAGTAATATAATTGGAATACTGTTAAAAGCTGAGTTATGCCATACTCACTCACTCACTCACACAGCCTAGGCACTAGAAGGTTGCAAACACGGTTTGTCTCAACTTGGACTGGCTGTTCTGTTGAAAAAAACATGCAAACGGCGTAGTCCTGTTGTGGCTGAGTTCTTTTGGAATGTCAGAGTTCTTCTGTCGTGATTAATAAGGTGTGTTGACCAGAATAGGTAGGATAATGTACACAGCTGTCTAGAACTGCAATTTCACACAGGAATTATTTGTATTTTGCATTTGTTAATTGACACTTATTAACTACTGGGTCATGCGCTATAAGATGATACGAGTGCTGCGACTATCGTAAGTCGACGATAGAATTTCAACAGTGGAAGGAGGCCCTGAATTCTGTGTTGCGGAAGGAAACTAGCTTTGGGATCAAGACTGACGTTCCAGATGACATAAATATTGTCAGATAAGGTTTTTATTTGCTGTTGTTCACCTTTGAAAAATGACAAATTCCTACCATTCGACTGGACATTTTGTTCTTAAACTGAACTATGAGATGTCCTCAGTCTCTGTTACAAGCAGCAACACAGGTTCAAGGTTATCTTAACGAGGTAGGTAATCAGTACAAGGCCCTCATTTGCAAACTTAAAAACTTTGCATGAAACTATATTTTCCTTGGAATATACTATATATTACATGTGTATATTAATGGGAAATACTAAACATCTAAGTGTGAAATAAGTAGTTGAGTCTATCATTATAGGCCAATGCGATATCTTCTTCCTTGTACATGTTAACCAAAGTATTATTTGCACTCACATCGGCAGTGTCCTCCACACTCTACAGGCCCTGGTTTAAGGGCCAGGGGTGGCCCTGGTTTGAGGGCCAGGGGTGGCCCAGGTTTAAGGGCCAGGGGTGGCCTGGTTTGAGGGCCAAGGGTGGCCCAGGTTTAAGGGCAGGGTTGACCCTGGTTTGAGGGCCAAGGGTGGCCCAGGTTTAAGGGCCAGGGGTGGCCCTGGTTTGAGGGCAAGGGGTGGCCCTGGTTTGAGGGCCAAGGGTAGCCCAGTCACCTAAGGTGCTGCAGTGTGCTGCAATTCCTCCCTCAGGCATGCCGTGAACCTGTGATCATGGGTTCGAATCCTAGATCCACCTTGATTGTCACGGTGTTTTCTGTACCATACCCGTGTTGTGGGTTTCACCAGAGTGGTAAACGTCGAAGAACTGCATCACTCTGTCTTTCCTCCTAACACAAACTGAAACACCATGTATATTACTCAAAAAGAAGTTAAAGACAGCCCAATGTTTTCTTATGACTATAGTTAGTCTGTCATGGCTGGTGGGTGCACACAACCTTCCATTTGTGGGTGTTCTTTGACTTGTTTTGAGTAGTATATGTGAAATACTGTTCACAGTTGTGTGAAGCACAACCGATTTACTAGCACCTTGCATCTGTACTGGCAGTGGGCTAGTGTTAATTGCCATATTAAACTGTATATTCATGTCTTGGACCCTGAACTTTGTCGGATCTGGTGCTGAAGGCTGCTGTCAGGCCCAAACTTAAAACTCTATGGTTATAACTGTCATACAAAGTTACAATCTTTTTCCTATTGTTTTGCTATTGTGCAGTGTTTTTCCCATTGCTGATACCATGGATACTCTGATTTCTGTCATGACTTCATGGAGGCAGTACATGCTCCTTTTTATGCTCCATTCGTCAAAGCTTTGGAAAATTTGGCTTTGACATTGCATGGAAACCATGACCTAGTGCTTATGACCTTAACCTTGTGCTTATGACACTGGACTTTGTGCTGATGACCTTGATCGAGTGTTTACGACCTTGACCTTTTTCGCTGCCCCAGCAATTACTGAATAAGGTGGAATCTGGCTGAATCAATTCAGGTTTGAGCCTGGGACCATTGAAACCAGTAAGTTAGTCAGGACAATTGGGAGTGTGTATGTTTTATACGGTTGACTTAGAACATATGTTACACACAAGGCATGCCCTCTTAGCTAAAGTATATTTTGTAATTTTTTTATCGCAACTTTAACTTTTATTGTGACGGCTTGATGTTTGTATCCCCCTGCCATACCTAATGTATGGTGATCTGTTAAGGTCATATTTTCATAGGATTTGTTTTTTTTCCATTGGTATTCATGACCATTGAGTCTGTTATTGTTGTTTATATGCTGGCTCACAAGCTGATCCAATTCTTATTGTATGACTGTTTTGACAGTGCTATGTATATTGTTGTTTTTTTCTAAGATATGTCCACTGTTATATATACATACTTTCTACCGGGCGGTATGGCTCATATCCCCCTCCATGCAGTACCCTCTCCTGTACATATACAACTGTTTATACCCTGTGTACAATGTTTGTTACTTGCTGTCCTCACTTCCCTGTACATAAGCTATCATCATTCATGGAGGCTGCTGACTCCTTGTCATTGTCTTGGATACATTTCAAATTGTTCATGTATGTCAAAAATAGTTTGGCTGGAAGATGAATGTCCCAAGATTGAGTTATTTTTTAACAGGGCCTCGATTTCATAATCAACTCACACCAATTTGTAAAATATTGCATTACTACATTTGAAGGGCACTTGGCCTTGGTTTGGCTGGCAGTTCCAGGAACACTGTCCCTCCTGAACTATAAGGGTAAATGTAAAGTGGCTTGGTAAAGTCACAGTGACGGTGTAGGACAGGCTGAGTGAGGGGTGGGGAATGTATTTCCAGCCAAACTATATTTTTCACCAACACTAATCTCTGGCCACAAGAAATTAATTATTACATTATGATCCAAATTTATCAATGTAGTGAAGGAGGAGGGGGTTTTATTTTTAAAAACATCATCTTTCAAGGTCACGATTGAAAGTGAGCGTATGTCGTTGTCTGCTGGTCTGCTTGTCTTCTGTAAAATTCTCCTCCTCAGAATCCACAAGACCAATGAAGCTGACACTTCACATGTTTATTCCCAACAATGATGGCACTGAATCTGTTGAAGAGGTTGGAATCAGTTTTTCAATATGGCCACCATGGCAGCCATTTTGAAAAAGATATTTATGACCATTACTCAGTCATTGTTCAATATGTGATTAAAGTTATTATCTAGTTAGCTATCTGTGAGTCATGCTGTTAAATCTCTCCATGTGCTGTAAAACTTCTATGAAAGGGGCGGTCGGGTAGCCTACTGTAATGCCGAAGACCCGGGTTCGATTCCCGACATGGGTACAATGTGTGAAGCCCATTTCTGGTGTCCCCCGCCGTGATATTGCTGGAATATTGCTTAAAGCGGCGTAAAACCTCACTCACTCACTCACTCCTATGAAATTGTAAGACTTTGTCATGTATGTTTCCCCTTTAGATGACATTTTGGTCAATTCATTAGACTTTAGTTCTAGTGTTTAGTATTTATACAGAGAATAGATGAAAATCAATGCAGACAGCAGAATTAGGTTCAGACTGCCTTTGTTTTTTAAAACTGTTGCGTACATATCCAGGTGAGCTACAGTTCCCTGACACTATTGTTTTTGTAACAGTTCTGTTATAATGAAATATGAAGGTGAGAGGACAGGGTGATAATGTAGCAATCAATTTTTGTTGGCCTTTGGTGTTTATATGAGTTCTTGAAGCTGTACTTAATACAATGCCGCTTGGTTGCCCTGCTTGCAGTGTTCTCATGACCTGTCTCATGCCCTGTACATCCAGCATCACCCACCCCCTCCAATCACAGGACCTGATTCTTCAAGCTCCCTCCCAGCGCTTGACACCTTCGTTACGCTCTCGGTAACATCGCTGTCACCAGTAGGGGCACGCCCATTACAAGAATCTTGAAATTTGCCCTCTAATCCCATATCATAGTGAATTTTGAAAAGGTTTATGACTGACCATAATTTGCAGATGAATTTACCATTTTGTTTGTTTGATCAGATTGGTTCACAATTGCAGACAAATGGAAAATCAACCAACTTCCCCCTTACAGTCTAACAATATCAATTACATGATAGTTGTCATGAAACGCAAATTCAGATTGATAAACAAAGAAAATAATATAGCAAGCGTAAGAGTATCCACGTCACGGCATTATCACTTGGTTGTAAACATAACGGTCATTCGGCTGTGAATTCAACTCCATGCATGGTTGTGGCCACGCATCACAGTGGGGAGGTTTGACTGGTGGCAGTGATAGTATAGAGAGCTCCGGGGTATCACTGTGAGGAGCTTGCGGATTCTGGTCATATTCCACATCCTGTCACCATGGATACTACAATCAAATATTGTCACAATATGTGAAATGGCCTTCAGGTATTCCAAAGAAATGAAATTGGGCACCAAGTGCTAAATATGTTCCGTTTTAGGTCCATATGTGGCAGTTTGTGGAATTGGTTTTTCATATTCACTAACCACTGTTATGCAAACCTTTGCCACTATAAGTGGTGTATAAATGTGTATATTGCCAGTGTGGTGTATGTCTAGTTATCTCCAGTGTTCACTGAGGGTACTGTGTGAAGGGCTGATGTCCCTGCCACCTATCCTGCTTGACTGCTGTATATGAAGTTGTGGGTGGCCTCTCGACGCTCACGGCTCCCATGCATGTATAAAGAAAATGCATAAATGTTTCAAACCATCAACCCTTTGCTGTTGTTATTTATCTGCGTGTGATCCCCAGCTCCTCGTGAATGAGAGGAGAGAGAGAGACAGAGAGACTGTTGGGGCTCATTCGACGACTGAACTTGGTTGGTTGGTTTGTTGTTTACCGCCGCACTCAGCAATATTCCAGCTATAGGACGGCGGTCTGTAAGTAATCAAGTCTGGACAATCCAGTGATTGACATCATGAGCATCGATCCATGCAATTGGGATATGATGACATGCATCAACCAAGTCAGCGAGTCTGACCACCCGATCCAGTTAGTCGCCATTTATGACAAGCATAGTCGCCTTTTACATCAAGCATGGGTTGCTGAAGATCTATTCTACCACGGATCTTCACGGGTCTGGAAGGGCTTGTATATCACAAGACTGAAGGATATGTAATAGGACTGTCCTTGTTAATGACATTGATAATAAAAAGATTGACAATATTTGAATAAGAAGACCTATGCGACAGCAGCCTGTAATAAAGTTGGGTGTGGTCAGGTCTCTCATTAGGGGCGGTGAGGGCAAGCGGTCAAAAGCGCCAGGTTAGCAAGCACCAGGTCCTGAGATCGTTCCCGCATGTGACCAGGTTGTTATTCAGCCTTGGGACCAACAATATTTACAGGTCTTTAAGGTGTTGTGACTACTCCTAGTGTACAGAACATTCACCCTGTGCACTCAAAAGAACCCACTCGTCCAACGGTAGATGACAAGATGGTGGAAACACGGATACGTACATACACCCGAAACACAAGTGTCACAACGTGTGGGGTCACCCTGGACAAGTGACTTAGTTCAAATGTGCCTCTGTTCACCCAGGAGGGAATGGGTACCCGGTATGTGAAGCGGATATAAAAACTAACAGGTTGGGTTGTATACTCCCCAGGGAGTTGAGAATGATAACTGGAATGCAAATGGATGCACTGGCCAGGGAACAAATAAGACCGCTTTTAAATACCCGCATTAGTACCTCGATACCTGTGGTATATAAATGTATGATATGAGAATATAGTAATGTTAACCATCCAATCCTCATGTTGGTCAGCCATGTGTTCGTACTGACAAGTGGATGTAAATAAAAATCTAAGAAGACAAATTACTGTAAATCTTGACACAGCCACTGATTGATATCATGAGCATCAAACATCAAGAACACAGAATGCAGAAACAATACTCATTGTTTATTCAAATGTCTTCAACTTCTACAATGTACACCATGGTTCAAGAATGTCATCCGGTCAAGCAAGGGTAGGTCTTTTCCTAATATACTACTCAAAAGAAGTTAAGGAACACCTGATTCTTCAAATTACTGTGGTTAATCTGTCTAACATCTTTTGAGTAGTATACACCACTTCAGATTGCAAGTAAATCAGAGCTACACCAGCGAGTGAGTGAGTTGGGGTTTAACGCCGCTTTTAACAGTATTCCAGTTATATCGCGGCGTGTCAGCTTAATGTGGGAGGAAAGCCCAAAGTGATGCAGGTCTCAGACGTTTACCACTTTGGTGAAACCCACGAGCATGGGTATGGTGCTGACAAACCTAGAAACATAATCGGGGCTAACCGGGATTCGAACCCACAATCGTAGGTTTCTGGCGTGCCCAAGGGACGCAACTCTGCACAGCGCCTTAGACAACTGGGCCCCCCGTGCCCCCCGCTACCCCAGTGACTGAGCCACCAGGATGACTGGTCCAGACTGATGTGATGTAAAACTGTAGACTGTCACACAGCGCCATTCGTCCACTCACAAACAGGGTGCGACAACACAACAATATCACAACTCACTGGTCTGGTCCTCTTGAATAAACCCAAAATAAAACAGACTACTCACAAGGAGTTAAAGAACCCCGATACTTTCATATGATTACAGTTAATCTGTCATAACATGATCGAATAACTACAGTAACCTATGGTAATAACGAACTCAAAGGGACCACTAATTTTTGTTTCTTAAAACCGTAGTTCATCATAAGCATATATACAGCAAAAGGACGCTACTATCCATCAGTTCATTATAAGCGTGTTTGTTATAAAAGTAGTTTATAGTTTTATGCAAAAATTGGGTTTCCTTAACTTCTTTTGAGTAGTATATAATACTGAACCTATGAGGACAACAATGCCAAATATTTAAATATATTCTTGACATGAAAATCATTTTGGGGTATCATGGAAAAGAAAATATATATCCTTATCAAGTGTAGTGTAGTATAGAATCCTGTCCCAAGGGTGAAGTGAGGGACAGGTTAAGACTCAGAAATATTTCAGCAATATCACAACATCCTGAAGTGAGGGAGTATGGTTTTACGCCACTTTTAGCAATATTCCAGCAATATCAAGGCGGGGGACACCAGAAACAGGCTTCACACAATGTACCCATGTCGGAAATCGAACCTGGGTCTTTGGTGTGACGAGCGAACGCTTAAACCACTAGGCTACCCGACCACCCCACAACATGCTGTAAATCGTCAAGTCCGGACCAGCAATCCAGTGGCTGATAACATGAGCACAGGTGCCCAGCCTATTTATTCCCTTTCAGTAATATCTGGATAAAGTAGGCAGTCATTTTCACTGTTTATTTATTGTCAGTAATCACCATAGCAACCCGGTGAGGTTAGTTTCTTTCGTTTCAAGTTTCTATCACCGTCAGCCACTGGGAGCTATTTTTTATTGTACCAAGTGTGCATGTCTTTTACATTCGTAAAAATTGTACACATATTTTCACATACTCACTCAACAGCTATTTGAAAGAAATAAGATTACCGAATATATTTCTTAAAGTAATATTAATTCAGAGCTCCTTACAGTGTACGTCTGGACAGAATGCCACGTTAATCTTCAACAAATTACATGCAATGCATCAAGTAACTACGAAAGGTCTGTTTTAAAAAAAATATGATTTACCATATTCGACGTAATAAGCGCCCAGGGCGCTCTCAAAATTAGAAATAGGGGGCTCTTATTAGATTAATATTTTGGTGGAAAAAACCCAACAGAGTTGAAAGATAAATTTCGTGGTTTATGTTGACAGCCTGAAATGTTTATGTACGACAGATATATTTCTCCAGAATTTAACTGCCTATAATTAAGGGTGCATATAACACACGAGTGCATATTATACGCAAATAAATGTCCTGTGTACATTGATCAATCGGAAGGGGTGCTAATTGGGATTGTTCACTAGCCAATATCTTAGCAAATGTCGCCGTGGGCGCTTATTAGAGCGGGGCACTTATTACGTCGAATACGGTATATTTTTTGTAATACATGTAGTTACATCATCATAAAACCATAATGTTTGGATAAAACTCACAATGACTACAGCCAAATCATAACGGTAGGCACTTCTGTGTGAGCAATACTCCACAAGAAACACTCCTGAACCTGAAAGACTGGGCGTTCATTGATACCAACACGAGGTTGACCCACACCCTGGAACCCCGTTTCTATAAGCCACCATCAGCACTGCAGACAGGAAAGTTAAGTAATGCCTTTCTAGCAGGAAGACCAAGCCACCTCTGACACAAACTCATTTGGGGGGACCACACATGTTTCAGTGCTGTTTCATCAGCATGTTCCATACTCCATCAATGTATACTACTCCATTTTTGATAGGGACATTTTTATCTTCCCATGACGAACAAAACAAACCCTTATATGCCAAGTGTATAATGTAATGAAGGATTCAAGATTGAAAGAATAACCTCCATAGATGTTATCATATTGGGCACGGATAACATATTTTATTCATTTATAACCTACGGGGGCAAACATATCGGGGTTAATACAAATCATATCTTCCTTATCATGAGACAACAGGGTATTGTTTCCGTCATCCGGACGACATTGTTGACGTCATTCGAATCTTATTGTGACGCAATGTCGGTATGACGTCACACTAGAAACGGTGTCATAGCTGAAGATTGTTGACGTCATTCGACAAATTGTGGTTCAGCTGCTATTGTGACTTACTGTCGTTAAAGGTAAACTCTACAATTCGTCTCTGTGTGTCTTCGGTAATAAATAGAACATTGCTGGCATATTCGTGTCCATGTCATACTATGTTTCTGAAACTTGCGCCTAAATTCCGGTATTTCGACACTCGTGTCGTAAACATAGTATGACATGAACACTCATATAATATCTCTATATATGATATGAGTGATTATCCTTATCAAGAGTTGAACAGGACAAAAGCTGCTGAAACTGCATAAATAGGACATCGCTCATACTCCCCCCACTGATTTTAAACATTCTCAATCCCATCCAACGTAATCTGTAGGCCTCAATTTTGTCCCCCATGAAATTGGAAGACTTGACTATTGGGACATGTTGATTATTCCAAAAGAAATTCCATTAGATAAACTTGAGTGAATGAGTATGGTTTAAGCCACTTTTAGCAATATTCCAGCAATATCACGGCGGGGGGACACCAGAAATGGGCTTCACACATTGTACCCATGTCGGGAATCGAACCCGTGTTTTCGGCATGACGAGCGAACGCTCTAACCACTAGGCTACTGCTAGGTTTCCTCCAATGACATCAGGACACCTCACTATAATTCAACATAATCTGGACACCTCATTATCATTCAGTGTTATCTGGACACATCAATTCATCTAGGGTAGAGGAGACATTTGGTTTGGGCTTGTAATCATTACTTGAAATTATTACTTGAAATCAAGATTTCCTGAAAATCCTCAATCAAATTCGCAATTCGAGAAATCTCAATTTTATCCAACGAAATCTGGACATCAGTTTTTTCCTACAGAATCTCAACAGAATTGCAAAGGCAACTGGCTCCTGTAACCATGGTAACACACTATGAAGAAATATGTGGCAAACCCTGACTGCAGTGCTATGTCATCACCATGGAAACCTATATACAAATCATAAACTGTACAATTATAACATCGCGTGTTCAGACCAACATTCACTCAGGTAATCAAACATTGCTTTGAGCAGTATTGCCGCTATATCACGGCATGTCAGCTTCA